TGCTCTGCTCGCTTCACATTTCACCCCAGCTCCCTCTCAGATGTTGTGCGTGACTGATTGTGGCTGGCTCAGTTAACCTGTGTGCCCATACAATTTTAAGCCAATTTAGGGGTGCCGCAATGTGATTTGTCCTGGGAGGGTCGGCCAATCTCTTGGCACCGGGAAACTGCGGGCCTTCCCACCTAGGGGCCCTTCAGATGAAAACCCGTTGTGCCAGGTGATCCCCCGCTGGGACACTACGTGTGTGTGCTGCATGTGTGTGTGTTCAGGGTGGGGGGCAGGGGGGAGTCGCAGTGCTTGCGGAGTTGCTCCACGGCCCATCCCCGTCCCGGGCTGACTGAAGCATCTCACCTGGGTCGCTCCAACCAGGTTGTGCCATGGAGTCCGTGGGACTCACCCGGCCCTTGTTGCTGGTTTCGTGGGTGGTGGCTCAGTTTTCCTAGCCTCCTGCGGTGGTCTCCATCTCCATTCCAGAGGATCCTCCTGCCCTCCGGCGTCACCTGGCTGGGGAACGAACTCAGGGGCAGATGGGTTTAGGTGGCGCCACGCCCATCACCTCCTTGCCGGGCCGGGGCCCACTGGGAACTTGGGCCCATGTATGTCGTGAAGCCATCGGGTATGGGGGGCATGGGGGGTGTGGGGATTCAATGATTTTAGGGTACCCGAAGGGTGGGCGACTCCCGCCCTCCAGGGTTTTAATCGGCGGACGTTGACCGCCGTCTCTCGACCCCTCACCCCGCCTTGAATCATCACCGTCCAGGGGGAGATCTGCCGCACTAAGGTCGAGGATCCTCGCCAGTAGATGGTCAACTTACCCACCTGTCTGGCCCCTATGCGTGGGGTATGCAGCCATACTTTAGAGCCAGCGAGTAGAAAGGGGTCTCAACACGGGGGCGGAAGCCCTGCTCTTGCAGCCGATGAGTGGCCTCCCCCTGTTGGTAGGCCCGGCCATGCATTGCCACCATTCCCAGCATCTCCGCGAGGGGGCCGATGGTGACAGCTGATGCCAGGATAGCAGCCATGGTCTTTGAAGTGGGGGCGATCCGGCTCCTGTCCCAAGAACGGAATCCGCTCCCCACTGCCCTCCATGGTGGTGCATCACTGGCGGGGATGCACGTTGAGCCCCAAATTTTCAAGGAGGTCGGTACCTGCAATACACTCATGGCCTAACTCGCTCGAAACATAGAATGCCTGGTTACACACCTGGTGTCTGAGGCGGACCTCAAGGGTGACCCTCCCCAGCAGTCCCATCCCAGCTCCACTCACAGTGTGCAGCACGTGATCCGGGGCCTGTAGGCGGCCCATGTCAACCCGTAGCAAGCTGCAGTGTGTTGCGCTCACGAGTGAGGCTACAGCCCCCGTGTCCAGCAGAATCCGGGTACGCTGCCCATTCACCTACGCTTCCACCAGCGACGTGGCCCCCGTGATTCCTGCCACCAGCTCCTGCAGCCAGTCTCCCGCAGTCGCCGCGTTTTTGGGTGTTGTTGTCGGCATCTGGGTGGGGGTCACTCGCTCGCCATTATCAATACAGTTTATTTGTGTTGGGACCACGTTGATTGCACCCCTCGGTAGTCCCCTCTCTAGGGAGGCCTTAGTGTTTAACCCTGGTGCTTGTCTAGCGTGGGTGATCTGGGGACAGTCTCTCACAAGATGCCCCCAATGGTCGCATAGATAGCACACATGGGGAAGGGCGGTGGCTCCATAAGAAGCCCGATGCTCACTCCCCCTTCCGCTCCCAGTGCGCATTTGTTCGAGCTCTGCCTCTAATTGAGACATTCGCCCAGTTATCCCCCCTCCCGTGGAGTGTAGTCCTCCCACCTCCGACTGGACCACCTCCACTGTGGACTGCAGCTTGTCCATATTTCCATGTACTCGGGTCACCTCCCCGCTTACTCGGGTCACCCCCTCGCGTGCTTGGGTCACCTCCGCGTGTAAATGGGTAACATGGCCTGCTATATCTCCGATGCTGGTCTGTATCCCTGCCACCCATCCTGGGGTTGTCTCACTGAGTCTCACAGGCTCCCTTGGCCCCCTCCTCACCGTCCTGGTGAGCTCCTCCTCCTCCAGAAGGAGGCTTGCAATGGTGCGCTCCCGTCCCAGCCCTCGGACCTGCGCGTGCTCATGAGCAAATCTCTCACACACACGCACGCGCTCAACAAGAGTGTTAAATGTGGGATATGGGCAGTTCCGCATCTGGCTGCCACCACGCCGTGCTAATCAGATACTGCTGAACTTTCTCGGTAGAGAGTGCATCAATGATCTTGGCAGCAAACCCCGGGTGTGCGCTCTGTGTTAATGAGTGCACGTCCTCAGTGTAGCTGTAGAGGTGCTCGCTGGGCTGGTGGTGGCGAGAATTTAATGCTGACTTTGCCTCCTCCTGGTCGCATGCGCCGAATTCTCCCAAATGCGCTTGCGCGTTTGTGGGTAGCGCTTCCACAAAGTCGGCTGCCTGCCCATCCAAATTACGATTTCGCTACTGCAGTAGCTTGCGCATCCGTCCAGCCATTAATATCTGTCGCATACGTGAGGATCCGGCCAAGCGATTTCCATGGCGGTATCCCTTGTCCAGTGAACACATACCTTACTGTTACTTGGGGTGGGGCGCCTCTCTCCCTTGGAGGTGTGGGGAGTCGTACCACATTTGACACCATTCTGTGGGAGCCGCTGTACACCCCACCGCCCTCCCCGGGCAGGTGGGGCGCGAAGTCCGCCTCCTACACTCCCTCCTCCATTGCATCGATTGGCTCCCGCCGGGCCTCCGCCGACCGGGTGATTGCCCCCCCCCCCATGCTAGCAACCTCTTTGAGGGATATAGCTAAATTGCTGGCTCACTGCCACACGGGGTTACTCCACACAGCCCGCATATGCACCACCACTAATGCTAACGCTGCGGCGAGCACGCGCGTGCACCTGCAGGCGATTATACCCTACCATGCACATACACCACAGCTGACGCTCAAGCGGCCGCGCGAATACGCGTGCCGGCGAACGGTTATATTCTACCCCACGCCCACACTAAGACTCACGCTAAGCGCTGCGCGAACATGCGCGGACCGGCGGGTGGTTAAATTCTAACACACGCCCGCACTACAGCTGATGCTTAAGCAGCGGCATGAACACACGCGTGCCCGTGGGTGGTTATATCCCCACCAGAAGCCCGCACTAAGACTAATGATAAGCGGCTGCGCGAATGCGCGTGCTCCTGCTGGCAAATAATATTCGAACAAGCGCATACACTGCAGCTCCGTGATTACTCTTCTGTGCATACCACCACTTTCGCTAACGCTGCGCACAGCAGTCCGACCACGCCCACACCTGCGAGCGATTATATCAATGAGCGCTCGTGATGCAGCTCTGCCCTCTCGCCGCTCCACACACAAATCACAAACAATGCTCTGTGCTAACGTTTATTCACGGCACAAACCCTGCACTGCCCGTAGGGAATATTCTGCCAGCAGAGCCTAGCCTACTGAGCAAGTCCCCAAACATTCACATGCCATATCCCGTACCTCGCAGCTGTACTCACGGCGTCGCACGGATGCTGTGAGAGTTGGAGGATGACGAAAAAACCTTGCCTATCATTGCCTCGTAGCAGCACTCCCTCGCGTCACACGGATTCTGTGAGCAGCTCGAGGAGGAAGGACGGCAGGGGGGGGGGTCTTAGCGACCAGGCTGTTGAAGCTGAGATCTCTTGAACCGTTTTTCGCTTCCCTTTTCATCCCCTTCACTTTTGAAATCCAGAGCTATGTCATCTGGGGCAACCAATTGTGCGCCTACCTGTGATTTTCAACCATTTCTCTGCCCTTACATGGCGCGTTATGCTACGTAATTTTTCGATCCATTGTTTCTGCACCCGTACTCATTAATCCCTGACTCAGCCTGTTTAATCTGGAAGGGCGTCCAACTGGTGAATACACACCCGGCTAGTGTGTACTTGGTCTGTGGTGCTGGGATTCCCTGACCTCATCGTTTGCTCTGCTCGCTTCATATTTCACCCCAGCCCCCTACCTGATGTCGTGGTTGTGGTTTGCCCGGTGAACCTTTGTGCGCCCATACAATTTTAAGCCAATTTAGGGGAGCCGCATTGTGATTTGTCCTGGGAGGGTCAGCCAATCTCCTGGCACCGGGAAACTGCAGGATTTCCCACCTATGGACCCTTCAGATGAAAATCCATTGTACCAGGCGATCCCCGGCTGGGACACTACATGTGTGTGCTGCGTGTGTGTGTGCTCAGGGTGGGAGTCGGGGCGCTTGCGAAGTTGCTCCGCGGCCATGGCACCACTCTATACCTATAAAATTAACATTCACGGATATCAATGAATCACACATTTTGCAATTTAAAATAGAGTAACTGGTTAAACACATTCCTGCGGAGGGAGCTGGTAGGAACGTTGGGTTGCTCGGTCAATGGCCAGGGTCAACGGTGGCGTGGTGTATTCCGCAAATATGCCCGACTGTGAGGGCGGGCACAAGCCGGCGTGAAAGGTGGGGACGAGTGGGGACCTGGGATGGTGGAGAGAAAAAAAAGCTGTTCCTCAAAAAAAGAGCACAATACCTACGAATTGGCGGCTTATAATGTAGAGATTAAGAGCAGCCGCATACTCTAAACGCATGATGTTGATTCTCCACGTGGAGGGAAAAATGTCCTGAAGATGGCCGGACGTGGTTGGTGGCCACCCACCCCCTCGTGTGTGCCGTGGCCACCTTCCCCACCCAGCCCCTCCCTCCCCACCCAGCCCCTCCCCACCCTCCCCTCTCTACCCAGCCCCACCCCTCCCATTTTTGGATGCACGACAGACGGATGGACGGACACAATAATCCCCTGTGGGCTGGCGGAACCAAGAGGTTCCTACCAGTACAACTCTATCTGTAGCCTAAATAATCAAATGTAACGCAAATCTCTGCCCTGAAATATTTGGTAACCTTTGAAAATGTATTGAAGGGTTATGGCCCCATGCATGGCTCGTTTGTGCACACCTACATTAGTACAAGATTGTTTAAAACTTGCTCCTGTATCCGTGTTTTTCTCTTTGCATCCAAACATTTCAAAACATTCCCCCCTAAGTATGAATAACATCACTAACACTCCCATCCATCACTTATCGGCTGCTCCGGCCTCAGCAGACTCCGCAGCCTGGGTCGTCTTCTCTCCAACGCTGCAAAAGATTGCCCCTCGCACGCTTTTTTCAGGCGAGGTCGGGCTTCCACACGTGGCATAAGGCCACATCTCCCGTGCGTCATGCACTTCGCATTACTCACATAAATTATCTATATTTGACATATGTAATTTTAATTGTACAATTCAGTTAAATTACTGGTGACCAAGTTTTAACTCTGATAATCCTCAAATTTGGTTAAGGTTAACCCTCACTCTAACAAAATATGTAATGAAGTTTGGAAAATCCCTCTTTACCTGTTCTTATTCATTTTAACGCTGGTCTTTACAAAACAACTGTCTTTAACTTCAACAAAATTTGATCTTGGTTGAACACCCATTTCCAAAATGGAATGTTTAAACCAAATGGTGTGAAATAAATTTGTTGCTCCATATCGCTGTGTTTTTCAGCCGACCTTCACAATATTGGTTGTTCATGGGAAGATATAGATTATTGGCATGTGGCACCAGTACTCCAATGCTTATCCAAGGGCAAGGCCAACCGCTAGTATTCTAAATAAAGGTTTAAACTCGCTGCCACGCGGCAGATTTTCTGTATAAAAGGGGCTGCCCAACAGCAGGGGGCCAGCACCGTCTACCACAGTAGCAATGTCTCTCTTCTGGCTCGTCTCCTGCTTCGCCTTCATCGGCGCCGCCTTCGGTAAGGACTCTACTGCCATTGCACACCTCTTGAACTCAAACACTCACAATGTAAAATGGGAGTCGCACACAGCGTGGTAAGAAAGGAAATCTACGCTTTAAGACTTACATTGAATTCCTTTATAAGGCCTTTATAAGAAAACAAATTATAGAGGCTCTTAAAGATGCGCCAGCTAATTTTTTATTCATCAATCGTCATGCGAGAGAACCATTTGAACATGTACACCAAAGTGAGGGATTCACTGAACCCTGGGTCATTTTTCGTCGATAAACCAAGACATGGTGTACTCATAATTTGCCACAATACTATAACGAAATACATTCATAAATCCCCCAATTGACATGACAGCTGGGGAAGATGTACATACATTTTGCATTGGGATGAAACTCAAAAGATGTATACTTTTTAAACTATCAAGATTGTGTCAACAAGCAGTACTATTGTTAAAGAAGGGTTAGGTTCCCGAGAAAAATCCGTAACCCGAATTTTTTACGTCGGAAACTAAACAATTTCTCCCCCAAATCAATGATAAAATCCCATATGTGGAAATAGTTGTGCCTCCCCTACCGTTTTCTATGAGTATCGTATCACGCTGTCATCCGTTTTCTATCGCTACCTGTAACGTATCGCTGTACATACGCTCTACACGTCCTGTGATGCTTCCATTTGATCACATATGTACCCTAACACTGCCCATAATTCAACTAATGGAACATACACTGTACTTGTCGAATTGTTGATGAATACCACGAAGCATAGAAAACGAACAATTACGTAATGCTACAAAAGGAAAAGAGACGATGTGACGGGTAGTCTATTGAGGGTACCAATGTAACAGCGTAACTCAAGGTACTTTACAGGACACCACCACCTTGGGGAAGATGCGGCCCCGCCTTACCGCTCACTCCTCTGTATTCATCAGCAACCTCACCACGCTGCACCATTTGCGCTTACATAACTAATGCAAACATTTATGCATACAGTATTGCAATTTTTTACGTGATTTATGGGAGAATTTCTGTAAATTCGGATTTCCATAAGTCGGGTTTTCCATAGGAAGGGGACTGCCTGCACTATAGTTTTTATACACATACAGTGAGGGAAAAAAGTATTTGATCCCCTGCTGATTTTGTAAGTTTTCCCACTGACAAAGACATGATCAGTCTATTATTTTAATGGTAGGTTTATTTTAACAGTGAAAGACAGAATAACAACAAAAAAATACAGAAAAACGCATGTCAAAATGTTATGAATTGATTTGCATTTTAACAAGGGAAATAAGTATTTGACCCCTCTGCAAAACTTGGTGGCAAAACCCTTGTTGGCAATCACAGAGGTCAGACGTTTCTTGTAGTTGGCCACCAGGTTTGCACACATCTCAGGAGGGATTTTGTCCCATTCCTCTTTGCAGATCTTCTCCAAGTCATTAAGGTTTTGAGGCTGACGTTTGGCAACTCGAACCTTCAGCTCCCTCCACAGATTTTCTATGGGATTAAGGTCTGGAGACTGGCTAGGCCACGCCAGGACCTTAATGTGCTTCTTCTTGAGCCACTCCATTGTTGCCTTGGGCGTGTGTTTTGGGTCATTGTCATGCTGGAATACCCATCCACGACCCATTTTCAATGCCCTGGCTGAGGGAAGGAGGTTCTCATCCAAGATTTGACGGTACATGGCTCCGTCCATCGTCCCTTTGATGCGGTTAAGTTGTCCTGCCCCCTTAGCAGAAAAACATCCCTAAAGCATAATATTTCCACCTCCATGTTTGACGGTGGGGATGGTGTTATTGGAGTCATAGGCAGCATTCCTCCTCCTCCAAACACGGCGAGTTGAGTTGATGCCAAAGAGCTCCATTTGGTCTCATCTGACCACAACACTTTTACCCAGTTGTCCTCTGAATCATTCAGATGTTCATTGGCAAACTTCAGACGGGCATGTATATGTGCTTTCTTGAGCAGGGGGACCTTGCGGGCACTGCAGGATTTCAGTCCTTCACGGCGTAGTGTTTTACCAATTGTTTTGTTGGTGACTATGGTCCCAGCTGCCTTTAGATCATTGACAAGATCCTCCCGTGTAGTTCTGGGCTGATTCCTCACCATTCTCATGATCATTGCAACTCCACGAGGTGAGATTTTGCATGGAGCCCCAGGCCAAGGGAGATTGACAGTTCTTTTGTTTCTTCCATTTGCGAATAATGCACCAACTGTTGTCACCTTCTCACCAAGCTGCTTGGCAATGGTCTTGTAGCCCATTCCAGCCTTGTGTAGGTCTACAATCTTGTCCCTGACATCCTTGAAGAGCTCTTTGGTCTTGGCCATGGTGAAGAGTTTGGAATCTGATTGATTGATTGCTTCTGTAGACAGGTGTCTTTTATACAGGTAACAAGCTGAGATTAGGAGCACTCCGTTAAAGAGTGTGCTCCTAATCTCAGCTCGTTACCTGTATAAAAGACACTTTGGAGCCAGAAATCTTTCTGATTGAGAGGGGGTCAAATACTTATTTCCCTCATTAAAATGCAAATCAATTTAAAGCATTTTTGACGTGCGTTTTTCTGGATTTTGTTGTTGTTATTCTGTCTCTCACTGTTCAAATAAACCTACCATTAAAATTATAGACTGATCATTTGTCAGTGGGCAAACGTACAAAATCAGCAGGGGATCAAATACTTTTTTCCCTCACTGTAGCTCAAACTGCTGTCTAACTATTTCATATTGTAAGTATGTAATCATGGGCAATGATCTATCCGCTGGTGGATGAATGCACCACCAAGCCGTCGACTTCTCTCATGGTCTAATGATGCAACAATATTTACATAGCTCCTCCACACTTGCTTTGTAGGTAAATCATTCAAGGAGCCTTTGTAATGTTCACGATCAATGACCGTGTTCTTTACACATCACAGGGTGCGGTGTCCCGGCCATCAAGCCAGTCATCACCGGCTACTCTCGCATCGTCAACGGCGAGGATGCGGTTTCGGGGTCCTGGCCCTGGCAGGTGTCCCTGCAGGTGAGTGCTCAATGTTAGCATGTCATGAGTCCGCATTTACACGAACCGTATAGCGGTGTCCACGACACAAGTGAAAGTCGGCCAGTACGATCTGCTGTTTGGCACGTGAGGTGTGCTACGCGTGTCCGAGAGTACGACACGACACCATTTCTGTCGCGTCTTGCCACTACAGGATTCCACCACGTGGCACTATTGCGGTGGCTCCCTCATCGACCCCTCGTGGGTGGTGACCGCTGCCCACTGCGAGTTCAAGTAAGTCACTGCGCCAGCATAGCACCGCTCATTGTTAACGACTTTAAAACGAGTCAGAATATTTTTCTCAATCAGTAAATGTTCGGTTTTCTTAAATGTGCTCGCAGCCCGTCCATTGACCGCGTCGTCCTGGGCGAGCACGACAGGAACTCCAATGCCGAGAACATCCAGTCTCTTGTCGTCTCTAAGGTAAACTTGCGAGCCATTAATTTACCTCATGAACATTCCCTGCAACTTCCTAGACATTGAAATGGATGAAGTTCAACAGAGACCAATTGTGTTGATCAAGTACCCCGAATTAAACAAATGTAGTGAGTTTAAGGTATTCTAACATCTCGTTCTGTTTGCACACACAGGCCATCACTCACCAGCAGTGGGACTCCTACAACATCAACAACGACATCATGTTGCTGAAGCTGGCTCAGCCCGCTCAGATCGTGGACCGTGTCTCTCCCGTCTGCCTGCCCGCCGCCTCGGATGTCTTCGCTGATAACATGATGTGTGTCACCTCCGGCTGGGGCAAGGTCCGCTCTTCCGGTGAGCATCAACGACCAATAATTAACACATTTACTTTGAGCAGGGTATTCATTCAAACTTCCTACAGCTAGTAGGCAAATACAACTTTGACAGTAATTCGTGTTCAAACAGTTATTAAGAAATATTATTAAAGAGATGATCTAACCATTATTATGTTATTTTGCATTCTTCTATGTGTGCGTTCACAGCCTTCAACACGCCTCCCATCCTGCAACAGACCGCTTTGCCTCTTGTGCCTACCGCCACCTGCCAGCAGAAGTGGGGCACCGTGAACGTCATCACCAGTGTCATGATCTGCGCTGGTGGTGCTGGAGCCAGCTCCTGCATGGTAAACGTTAACGACCTTTCATTACCTAGCTAAAGTTGTATCTGAAGTCAGCGTTTTAATGCTTACACCAGAAGGTAGGCGATCATCATTGGAGGAATGAGGAATGGTGGGGTTTATTGGCCTATCTTGTAAAAATGTAACATGTTTGAAAGTAAACCATTGATGAAAGTAGTTGTTGACAGTTTAAGATTGAACTTTGATATATACCTCAATGCTTAATTTTAAGTGGCAATATATTTATTATTTCATCATTTAATGCAAATTCGTGACAGCTCATTATTACCATGCATACATTACTTTAAAAAATGTGTAATGATTGCAGATCTGCACCACCATATAAGTGAAGTGTATCTCAACACAACTCAATTGTCATCAAAGATGGGTTGGACGGTTTTATTTTACTTTATTTTGTCTCGATATCGAAGCTCATTCTGATATGCTTGTGGCTATGTACCTTGCGTGTCTTCTCTCCAGGGCGACTCTGGCGGCCCCCTGGTGTGCGAGAAGAACGGCGTGTGGAACCTCGTGGGGATCGTGTCGTGGGGCAGCAGCTCGTGCTCCACCAGCATGCCGGCCGTGTACGCGCGCGTCACCGCCCTGCGCAGCTGGATGGACCAGACCATGGCTGCCAACTAGACACACCTATGGGCAACGATTCAGTGCTTTCAATTGGTCGCATTGGATTCGTGATTGTGAACACCTTGGATATTGTATGAATCAATTTGTTGATGATATTTTGTATCATTAATAAAATTGTTGACCAATATTTTTTCACAAAAGTTTGATTCATTTCATCCTTGACTTGTATTGGTTTAACACGTAGGCTTTCGCGACCAATAACATCCATAATACAGTTGTTTTTTGGGTTAGATCGCGTTTTGCAAAAAATACAATTTGTAGGCAGTTTAAGGAATACGAGTTAAAAATAAGAAATGTAATCTAAACATATCATACAATATAAACCACAGATCTTTTTACAACAGTAAAATAGCTAATATCCCAACAAGCTAGTCGACCTTCCCAATTGCAATTCTAAATTTCATACTCATGAATATTTTTCATTCATTTATAAATTGCTTTGCATGCACATCTGAAGGTTTTTTAAAAAGAGGATAACGTCGTCATGATTGGACTAGAGTTTGGAAACCCACGGAGTATGTTATATGGAATGAGCTCTGTCATATCACTGCAATTAAACTTCAAGATTAGCTTAACACCGAGTATAATCATACAGACATCGTCGAACACAGGGGTAACGTTCTTGGAAAATGCCGTATTGGGAAAAAACACGTTCGACAATAAAGTTTATGGGAGTTCCATTTCTGTGTCTGAAATGATCAACCTCTCCCTCTTTAACTAATTCTACATGATTTCCACTCTTGTTATTATGCTAAAGGCTGCTGAGTCACTCTCCATTTCTTGTGTTTGTGTGTACTCTCTTGATTTTTCAATTTAACTCAATTTAAACCCCCATCTCCATTCCTCTTCCCCCACTGCGACACTCATGCCCAGCACTCGCCCCCGACATTTAACTGCCAGCCCGGTGCTGGCCCCTAACAAAGTCACTTGAACATGAATGATTTGCCATTTAGGCGTCCATATGAACTGACACATTTCCTGCGTGTTTTGACTCATAAGGATTTTTAGAATTTCTTAATTTTTGTAAAAAAATTTCCAGGACAAAGAGCACTATGACGAATTAGCGTTTTACGGGGTCGCGCTTAGCGAGATCTGCCTGTATGCTATACGCGAATTCGTTACAGCACTCTTTGTTACTATAAGATATGGAGCACGGCCGTCCGGGCTGCAAGGACACATCACCTATGGTGGCGGCAGTGAGGCTGATACAACAGAATGGGGAGCCCTTCTGATGCCAGCAGGGTGTGCGGCAACAAGCCCAGAGCAGCGGGATGATGGCTGCCCATCATCCCACAAACACCCACGAACACAATGAAATAGTGCTCACCACCAAACCTTTCCACATGGGTTTTTATCCTGGCAGCCTTGAAGGTTATCTTTCCATGAGTTTTTCACATGAGAGGCGAGTAGGGGGCATTGAGGTGATAGAAAACCAATGTGTGTATGATTGAAAAAGGGTGAACCCAGTGTGAGGCCACCTTCAGGAAACCCCAAATAACAATTATAGTTAAGTTATAAAAAAATTAGAGGGCAGCCCTTCTTACAGATGCATTATATTCTCCATCGGCTCAGTCTTCTTCTCTCAACTATTCTCTGCTATTGACTCCATCTCTCCTCTGTTGGGCACTCTCACCCACTGGACACTACTCACCTGATGTTCGCTGCTCACATCAGGCTTTTCACTGGACGATGATTTTTATCAGCTTCAACAATTGCGCACCGTCCATCGTGCATTGACTAAAGAGATAGCGAGGATGCTTCTCCATGCATTCATCATCAGTCGCATGAACGATTGCAACAGCATCTTTTGCTGTTCTAGCACTGCACATCTATGTCCACTCCGGCCAGTGTTCAATGCTACGGCTTACCTGATAGTTACGACGCGGAAATTTTAATATGATAACAACCTCGATATGAGACGACTTAGATTGGCTATTAAATATAAAATTTATAAACAAAAATAAACTTTGCTTACTATTTTATAAGATGCTGCACCAATCCGCTCTGTCTTATCTCACTGAGCAATGTATACTCGCCTCAATTGACCCCAGAAGATGCACTCTACAATTCACAGCTCATGGTGATCTACTGTACCCATGCACACACATTGTGCTGTTTTGGGGTCTTTGGTCCGAAGACCGGTTACTTGCATATGTTCTGGATCTATCCTTGAGTCTGAGTCAGCTTGCAACAGACTTAAAATAGTAAAACTTAGTATGCAAGATCAGTGCACATTTACATCGTACATAGCTATCCGTGCTAATCGGAGGTGCGGGATGCTCACCTGACATCTAATGCTCACGAAACACCCCCAATACTCCCATGACACCATTTACCAGTCTTCCACTTGACCCTCACCATATACCACTGACACCTCACTACTTGGTAGACACAACACTACTCTGCTGACATTTAGACACCCTAAAATCATGAATTCAGTAAACATCACCCACCACTCACCTGCCACCAGCCTCATCGTTAATACACACTCACAAGACCAATTGACTTAATAATAACACCACTAAACTACACCCTCAACTCCAACTACCCCAAACTGTACTCCAGCAAGGCACTGCACAACATCACAATGGTAGACTACACCACATCACTCTTAGTGCGCCATTCCTCAGCACAGGTCAACCGAAATGAAGAACCGACTTTTACTAATAAAACTTTAATAAAACAAAACACATCTAAACAATCACAATAACCAACCCACTTGCAACTCCCCCAAAAAGTCACCCAACCCCACAATTGGGTCTTGACTCTGGAAACCCTTCCGGATCTCAGGCCGGAGCAGCTTACAGCCTGAGTCAAGACTCCTGGGCTCAGGAACAACTTGCAACCTCAGACCGCTGAGCTAGATTCAGGAGCGGCTTGCAGCCTGAGACCCCTGGGCTCTGATGCAGGGAAGACACGCCTGTCACAAGTTGCAGCAGGGTGAATGCCTAGGAGACTCGCAGCCTCCATACTCGGTGGTACTGTAAACGTCGAACGCCCACTGGTCCCAGAAATGTGGAGGCCTAGGAGGTTCATTAACGGCAAACTCTCCCTAATTGAAAGTGTACGGCAGAGGCAGGGCATGACCACCAACCCGACACTGCAATGGCCAGAAGTCGCCCAAATACCATGCTCCCTTTAACACTGGAACCTGTTGATACTGTTCTGCCCCATGGCAGATATGGGGGTGTGGTTACATAGGAACTTGCTGATATAGTGTTGAGTTTGGTCACGTGACCAGGAAGTTATAATTTAAGGTTCTCTAAGCCACGAAGAAGGGGTGTCAGCCATTACACAGAGTACAAAATGGAGGCACAATTAGCGTCTCAGTAAAGACAGGTGCATCTGTTCATTGTGGGACTTTAAGAAGCATTGTCTGTAAGGTCGTTTATGTTCTTTTAATACCGGGAATGCTGTTATAATGTTAAGATTTCCGTTATAATGCTGTAAATGCCTTTATAATGCTGTCAATTGTTATGATAAATATAAGGTCTAGTTAACAACGAAGCCTGCCACTTGCATTATCGTGAATGTTATTTGTAGTTGGATAAGTCGAGCCAGACTTGTGCCCATGTAACTTTAATGCGATCTTGAGAGCAAGGATGAAGAAGTATCTCACCCAGAGTTCAGTGTTATATGCAGCACTGTACGTTTAGGCTGAAGTATGGTGATTACACAAAGTGACCTTATTTAACACAGTTGCTTATTCTCTTGCTGGAAAGTTATGCAGTGCTAATGTAGGTGCCTGGTCCATCCAGGACCTATTGTTGAGATTCATGTTATCTAAGACAATGTTATGATCCTGCAATGTTCATTCATTGCATTGATATTGTAAGTATTAACAGATGCTGTATTTTGTGCTGTGTTTTTCCATCAGTTTTACTTCGTTCTATTCATTAAATACGTTGGAGTCGGATGTTCACCCTGGCTCTGAAAATTTATTGAATGGCAGGTAAACTACTTGGTGCAATGCAGCGCACAGCGAGGCCGAGACAGTAAAAATACATACTTCTTGGAGCTCTCAAGCAGCCAGCTCCTCAGGCTTAGAGCTCTCAAGTAGCCAGCTCTGAAGTGAGTCTACATTAAACTTGTGTTCCAAGCATCGCAGCATGGAAAGCCACAGTTCATCAGGGAGCGATGCTGAAGCAAGTTATTGAAGCAATCCAGGACCTTCCATCCTGCCTCAAGAGGAATGAGGGAGTTCAAGGCCCCAAAGAGAGGTCAGGCTGACACAACGGGCCTTGGAAAGCTGTGACACTGAGAATCCAGACTTTGATGCCAGGATACAAAGGGCATGGAGACCGGGTTGAAGCGATACAAGCTGCTGGCAAATGAATACACTCTCCACCTGAAGAAGGTGAAGACAGACGAGGACATCGAGGGAGTGTGCACGCAAGAGAACTACCTTGAACTGCTCCATGATAATGTGAAAGCAGTGATACAAGACACAATGGACCGTGTGGAGGGCTTAAGAGAGACCCGATCTCAGCACTCTGTCTCATCCAGGTCCACCACAAGATCTAAAGGCTCAGCACACTCAAAGACATCATCTACGAGTATGGCAGCAGCTCAGACACGCGCAGCAGCAGAGCAGCAAATGCCCGTATTGCCTACATGGCTGAAGAGAAGCCATGCTAATTGAAAAGGCCCGCATACAAGAAGAAGCAAGCGTAACCAAGAGTACATTGGTGGCTACTGCCACACGGAAGAAAGCAGAGCTGGATGCTAGTTAAGCACCCTACAACTCAAAAAGAAGCAGCTGCTGCCAAGGGCCCAGGCAGAGGTGCTAGAAGCAACAGCCGATCTGGATGAGGAAGAGCATTGGAGTGAGTTTAGCACTCAGATACCTACTTGTCAGGACCGTGATCAACTTACGAGAAAAAATATTTGGACTGGTCTGAACAACGCACCAATACTCCTCCACCAACCGATACTGAGCAAAAGGCGGATGTCAAGACATCACCACCTCCATGCCGAGTGAACATGATTGATGTCCACGGGAATGGTGAAAATGCCTACCCTGCCCTGGCAGTTAATCACCAACTCAAGGCGTCGCACACGTGGGATCAGAAATGGATGCATCACGTCAGAACCCACATTCCAGACAGTCACATAAAGCGATCAAACCAATGTGATCAAAACCTTTTGGGCCCATAATCCAACGCCATCACGAATGACGGCATGCAAGGCAATACAGCCTATAATAGCACCTCACAAGCGCCAGTATGGACACACCCTGGATCAGCATGGCATAGGGGACTTCGCTAGGGTACTTGGCTCACCGCGAACTACCATCAACACAGTACTCATAAAGTTTGATGTCCACTCTGATAACTATCGAGCCTGGAAGATCAACCTTCAGGAGACGGCAATCAAAAATGCAGATATCTCTGCAAGTGAAGAACTCGACCTGTTGGTGAAATGGTTAGGAACAAATCTGCAGAGTATGCAAAGAGGATCTGGTCGGCAAAACATGGACGACTCTGCCTCAAGCCTGCATGCGGTGTGGGAGAGGCTTGATGAGTGCTATGGTAGCCCAGAAACCATTGAGAAGGCTGTCTTTAAGAAGTCGAGACAATAAAAGGTTACATAAGCTTGGATATCTTCTGATGGAGCTTCAATCAGCCCAGGCTGACCCCTATTTACCAGGTCTCATGTTCCTGAATACCTACCATGGAGTGAACCCCATCGTAGAGAAATTGCCATTCGACGTGCAGAAGAATTGGAGAACAAAGGGTTCCAGATACAAGTCAGAGCATCAGGTTGCATTCCCCCCATTATCGTTTTTATCAAAGTTTATCTGCAACCTGGGTCGGACCAGAAATGACCCGAGTTTCATGTTTGGGACCACGGGGATCTCCAGTCCAGATCTCCCAAAAATCGAAGGAGCAACGGCGA